GATTTTAAACTGCCAAACGCGAACAAGAGCCAGGAAACTCCACGTGATGGTATTGTTATGGTGGTATACCCGAAGCTTCTCGCTAGTGCGTACGCTACTATTCGAGTACTACGTAGTGTACTGTATTGTGCACTGCCTATTGAGATTTGGTACCGTCCAGATGAAATTAAGAATGACACGATTCTAAATCCATTGAAGCATCTCGCAAAAACAGAAGGCAACATCACGTTCCAGGAAATCCACGATCCGCGTGCAAAACGGTTTGTGGCAAAAATCCACGCCATCTACCACAGTTCATTCGACCGCGTGCTGTTTCTAGACGCTGACAACGTTCCAGTGCGCGATCCAAGCATCTTGTTTACATCTTCAGAGTTCATAAAGACTGGGGCGATGTTCTGGCCGGATTTCTGGCATCCAGACTCCACCATCTTTGGGATAAATGAGAATGCGCTACTGTGGGAGCTCATAGATATGCCGTTTGTCGACATGTTCGAGCAGGAAAGTGGACAGTTACTTGTAGACCGAACGCGTCATGCCGCTCCATTAGCGCTCGTGCGGTTCTACGCTCTCCATCGTCCAGATTTCTTCTCATCCTTACGACTTGTATGGGGAGATAAGGATCTTTTCCGACTCGCGTGGCTGAAGCTTGAGGTTCCCTTCACAATGATCCAGACTCCTCCTGGAATGGCTGGAATTGTCTACGATTCCGTACTTCGTTCCGATTTCTGTGGGTTGACGATGGTGCAGCATAATGTGGGTGGAGAAATTCTCTTCCTGCATCGAAACCAGCACAAACTGACGGGAAAATTTACGGAGAATACCGAAGATTCGAGTTTCAATGAGGAAAATGTTGATACAGTCGACGAGTACGCAGATCCAGCGATATGGACGCATCTGTTGCGTTTTCGCAAGGAATCAAGTCGGAGAAACTACGCAATCCAGACGTTTCGACTGGATTTGGACTTCGAGGCCAACAAAAAGTGCTTCGGTCGACGAGATGTGTATAGAAATCCAAACTTCTACGTCCAGAAGATGTCTGCCTTTGATTTCTCTGGACTGGAAACCCTTCTACGGCGCTTTGCGCTGGAGTCAATGCAATCCTCTTACACATGAGCCAGCATAATGTTGCATAGATTTTGTAAAGTAAAATACGATGAAATTGGCATGTCTTATTCGCGCAGTTTCCGAGTCCTTGACTTCGCTTTCTAGTCATGAATTCCCTACAACATAAATGTCGATAGAAAACCCCTCCTTCTCGACGTACCTTGTGGCTCTGAGCATAGGGCGCCCAATGATTTGGTCGCTATTGCCAACTCGAAGGAGCTCCATCAGTAAAGTGTTCGATCTTCTTGATCAGCTTTCATCTCGGTGGATCATTACTCACCTTTCCCTTTGCTGATGCGAGATTTCGATCAAAAGCTTGGTTCGAGTAGCCACTCGAAAGACACTTTCTCAAAAACCCCAGGTGCAATAAGTTGTCGACTCACCGTGGAGATCATTACTAGGGTAGGAATACGATACTACAGCTACTGGATGTTACTGCAGTATATCTCGGATGCTTTGAAGCTTAACTGGGTGACAAACAGGGTCATCAAGATCTTGGAAACTCAACTCTCTGGCAACACTTATAGGAAGGAAGGTCAAGATAAAGCCACCCCTGTATTGGTGCGTCCGCCCGAGCGTGACTTACGTAGAGTTGTTTGTTCGCCTTGATATTTCAAAAAAGTCTGAGTGTGTAAATGAGTTGAAGATATTTACATATAAATGATACTTTATGTAGACAAGTCGTGTAACTGGAAGATTACCAAGCTTCAGCCATGATGCGAGCCTTAATATCTGCTTTCGCATTAGCAGGATCAAACTCATGCTCTTTCTGGTGTATCGACACAGGCTGAATCGGAGCGTCAGTCACCTTCACTAGACGATGGAAAAGCGGGACGAATCCTTCACGCATAATTTCCAGCGTGTTGATAGCCGCAGCCACATTCGCGTTCTCAGAATTGATCCGCGCGCGTAAATACCCAACCAATGGACTCGTGAATCTGTCGGAGTTGGCAGCCACTTCTTTCTTCAAGACGAGATGCTTGTGTGCATGAGTCGCTTGTTCCTTTTGCTCCTCTGTCCCTTTCTCCATCAGCTCAGCCAGTGCCTCAATCGCACCTTCTTCTACTATAGCCTCACGGTTTGTGTCGTTGTCATAGGCCAGGCATCGCAGTGCAAACACTGCCCACTGCTTCTGATCATCATTCCCAGTTCTGAGGAGCTGTACCAACGGTGGAACAGCTCCCTTGCGTCCAATCTCAACGCGTCTATCAACGTTGTTTGCTGCGAGGTTCCCCAGTGTGTACGCCGCGTCCTCCTTCTGGGTATCAGAGCCCGTTCTCACAAGCTCCACAAGCGGCAAAATAGCTTCGTCCAGATCCGTCGCCACGTTATTATCACACGCCAGATTGCCCAACGCAAACGCT